AAAGAAGAAGTTACTTTCAAAGGATTGGGTTGTAAAATCCATATGGCTTACCAACTGAGGAGCCCCAGAAGGACCCGTAAATTTACCAGGACCCCACAGAGAAAGTGGGGCCCATGGACTAGGCAGTTTACTGTTACATTAAAATGTGGCAACTGACATGCTTTGGCTGTTTCAGGTGGATACTTTTTGGTTCCCTCATTTTTAAGCTTCACAAAACGCTCAGCTATGCAATTTCCATGGTGAATTCAAAGTCATAGCCAAGAATGGGACATACCAGCTTTCCAAGGTCAAGATGCCAGAAAATGCAAGGCTAAACCCACCTTATATCAATTTACTCCTTAGGTTTACTCTTCATTACCTTCTAAGCCTGCTGGCCATATCCCCACCTCCAATCCTGAAGCAGCATTGATCTACCCGTTATGAAGTTTATGCAAGGTAAATATCTGAGACCCTACACTTTGGAATTAGCAAGAAGTGTCAAATCTTAATCAACAGAATCTCCACTTACATTGCAACTGAAATGGTCTACAACAGAGATAACTCCTATAATACATGGTCATACACTGGGCTCTTCAGCCAATCACACACAAATCTGCATTCCTCTTACCAACCACTGCCTTTGAAGCCAGGAATCCTGAAATTCCTTAGGTGAAGTTTTTCAATGAGAAGAATACCTCCCATAGGTCTCTAACAGTTGGCCCCGCTGATGAGTCCCCCAGTTATGCACCAGACACACAAGTTCCAGTGGCCAATGACTGTCTCCTGCTACTGGGGTCAGTCCTGAGCCTTCTGATTTGCAAGATGCAGAGACAGTTCTTAACTGTCTTTTTGTTTATCTTTTAGCAGAAAAATACTAAGGAAATATAAATGTTTCCCTATCGTTTTGTCACCTAGAAATGCAGTCTTGTCCTGGGAAAGCTGAACTAAAATGTCCGCACAGGACAGATGTGCTCCTCTATTGAACAAGATTTAGATAAAGAACTTAAGAAACCAGGGTGGATGAACAGTACTGAGAACAGAACCACAGCAATGCAAACACCTCCCACACAGCCTGGCAAAAGGCCCCTCCCCTGCCCCAAAGGGATTATTGCCTCCAGCTACAAGAATATTCATTCTTCACTTTTTCTCCTGATGGCAGCTCCATTTCAGCTATCAGCTGCCATGGCATCCTTTTTCTCTCTCTCCCCTCAGGTACTCACAGCTCCCAACAACAGATCTGAGACAGGGAAGCCCTGATCAAAGATGATTAGTTCTGGATGACTACAAAACAGCAACATCAAGGTCAGTGGATTATAAGCAGGACAATTTGATACTCACTCTTAACACTCTGTCACCCTTAAAAGGTTTTCATTACATTTAGGTCTCAGATGTCAATAGAGCATCCTTCGACTTGCTGTTTAGCCTCATTACTCAGTTGTCTTATCTTTTTGAAGATAATTGTCCTAAGTTGTTTAAAAGGGTAAGGGGAAATTCGTCAATAAGGTGATAGATATAGCAAGGTAGAGGAAAGACAGAAAAAGGAAGAGAGTCACCATCTCCCCATACAAAAAGGTTTTAGTCCAACCACTTTGTTTTACAGAAGAGAAATCTAAGGGATCAAGAGAGGAAGTGACTCTTGCCGGGTCTCACAATCACAGCAGAGCTGGGCCACCAGGGGTGCTCAGGGCTTCAGTCCCCAGAGCTCCCCCTGCTGAAAAGCAGGGCCTCAATAAAGGGCCTGCTGAATCAACACGAGGGAGTGGCCCACTTGAGAACATTCTGAGCACAGAAACTATATTGCCTCCCCCCTTCTGAATACAGGCTGTCAGCATGCCAGGAGCATTTAAGAACAGATGAGACAAATGACTTCACAAAGAGGTGGGATAAAGTCCAATGACACCAAAAAGTAGACAGCTACACTGCTCCTCCGAAGCACAAATAGTTCAACCTACCTAAACTCGTTAAGAGGAATACGCCCCTCCTTTCAATAATCCATTAAGAAAAGTAAATATTAAATAATCCACAGAGCATTTTGCAATCTATGTTAACACTTTTACATACATTATTTTATTTCACTCTCACAACGGTCCCATTTTTCCAAGTAAAGAAACTGAGGACCAAAAAAGCCTTGCCCGAGCTCACAGCCAGTAAGCAGCAAGGCTGAAGCTGAGACCACATCTTCCAACTTCATATTCAGTGCAGCCTCTTACACCACCTCCACCCAATGTTAATAATGACAAAAAGCCAAACACAACAGTAGACCAAAGGGCTGACTGAACCACACCCTCAGGCCAGCTAAACAATGACTAAAATCTGTGCTGGAACCCAGCACAGGCTTTGCCTCCCCAGAACGTCAGGAATGAGCATTTTCAGCGCAGGTTCAGATCCAGGTGCCTGCTGAAGGAACCCCTATGCCTCACTATCAAACTCTGGCCTGATCACCTGAACCACGACAGTGTGCCTGCCAGAGCTGCGCCTGTCAAGTGCATTCACTCTTGGTGACATACCCAGCTGTGCAAGCAAGTTCCCTTCAAGGGAGCTCCCAAACACTCCAAACACTGTGCTGCGGAGCTGGAGGGAGGAACCGAGCTGCAAATGGGACGGAACTTTACAGACGACATTTGTACTTTCACACCAGTAAGGCAGTTTAAAATTGGTTCCCAAAGAGCCGCAGAGATCATGACTTGCAAGGATACACTAGAAACCATCCAGAGGTTCCTTCTGGGAAGTGGGACTAAGAGGACTTGACTGTGAATTTTACCATTGGCACATATTCCTTTCATATTTTTGAAAACTAGCTCAAAATTAAATTTAAACGCTGTAAGGACTATGGACTGCACTGGAAAGCCATGGAAGCAAACAGAGAAACAGACACCAGATGAAGTAAACTAACACAAAAAAATTATTTTAAATCAAACGAAAGCTTTAGAAACACTATCTGAAACACTAATCTAGACATGACACCTTTATAAAGCAAAACAGGAGAAAAGAGACTCATTTACAAATTGTATGAATTTTTCCTTCCCAGTAACAGAAGATATGAAGCAATTTTTGGATAAGCAAAAAATCTCTTAGTACTTACTCTGTACTAGGCATTTTCACATATTTTATCTCATTTAATCACCTCAATAACCATGGAAAAAAGATATTATCCATAAATTATAGTCCAGGAAACAGCAGCTAAGCAGCTTCACACAGCTGCACAGCTACAAACTCCTGGAGTATAAAGATAGAAAAGGCCAAGCTAGACACACAGATGGACCTGTAAGGACAGCCACTGCTGCATGGCAAAGGGCGGTCTGCACCATGGAAAGCACACAGCAAAGCTGGCCAGGTTCTGACAACTGGTTCAGTTGTATTCCTGGTGTGGGCCACGTGCCGCCTGTGAGGACAGGTGCGTCATGCAATGCTGTTATCCATATTCAAAGAGGATGACACTGACGCTCTCAACAGCAAATACGCATAAAGATGTTCTCAGAGTGCTCTTAGATTTGCACTAATCTACCCATTTTTCCCTGGCAGCCCTCCTTGCCACTAAAGGCTGTATTTGATAGATGACTGACAGCGGAGGGTGCGGGGCACAGTTCGCTATGAAGGGCTACAGGTAACCCTGCCACAAGTTCACAGTGTGAGCACACCCACGACTCCAAATTCATGGCCCCCTTTCTCTGAGGTCTGAGTCCTCTCACGTGCCTATGTAAGGAAGAACAATTTAAACATAATAGCCAAGGAGTATTAATATTTACTGAGCTTTTATTAATGCAGGAGAAATTGTGCTACACACTTCCCATGCACTGCACCTCCGTTAATCCCCACAACCATCACCCCTCGTGTGAGGTACCACCATCATCCCTACTTCACATATAGAAACTGCGGTTCAAGAGGGGTTAAGTAACTCGACTAGAGCTCAAACTGTAAGAAGGAAGTAACACTTAATTAAGCCCACTGGCCTGTAACTCCTAAGTCCAGGCTCATAACCACTAGGCTTTATGCTTCTCACAAAGCATGTTTCATGCCCATTTTTAAAGCATTCTCTTTGTCCTTTATTATTAAAGCTATGAAACAAACCATTCAATTAGAAAGAGGCAAAATCTTTATACTAATGGGCTATGTAAGACGCACGACATTATAAAATACTGGAAACATGAACTTAAAATCTGTAATCAAGGCAAGAAATATCAACTTTCCCAATACACACCCACAAACACACCTGTTATAATCAGCTGGCTGCCCTGGATGTTCAGGCACCGGTTCTTATAGGCTCTTGGGTACTCACGAATCCTTTAACCCCAAGCATCTCAAGAAAGGACGTGATATCAATGCCCTGGGCTTGTGCACCCTTCTTTACCAGCTCTGACCCGAGTTATGCCCTGCGCTGGTCTGTCCCTGCTGAACATGGAAACAGGGAGAGACCTTCCCAGGGATAAACTGTAAAGCTGAAATTCCCTCAGCTCCAGAAAAAAACTCCCTGTGCCGTTTTTCCTTAGATAACTGGCTAGCCTTTGAAGTTTCAAACCTAACCCCAAATTCAAAGACAAATCATGTTTCTATACTAACAGCATAGCCAACTCTCCCTCTAGAGATACACCAAAATAAGAATGACAGCCTTGTGCAGCAGTCAGCACAGACCTCACTAAATGACAAGCTCAAATTCGGTGCCTTCCAATGCCTGGGTGAAGTTTCACAAGGGAGCCGAAAGCACGCTACAGTCTAGGAGCTATGTCTAGGAGCACCGCTCTGTCGAACCACGTCAAAGAGCAGCGCAACTCTATTAAGGGAAAAATCTCATCTTGCCCAAATATTACTGACCCTGCAACAAATACACCCTCTTCATTTCTGTCATTCTTATTTAGAAAACAATATATATGAATTATCATTTTTCCTAAGTTTCTAAGACTTACTTAAAATGTTTTTCATTTGAAATAAAACAGTTTAAAATCCAAGGAATTTTCTGTAACTACAACTACATAATCCAGCACTGCCTAGGACCAGGCAAAGAAAATAAACTGAATTTCAGTTACCTCCATCAGCAAACAGTCTGCCCATAATTTTGTCATGAATACAAAGAGCATTCTCCCGTTCCATCTGTTCAGCAAACCTTCATCTTCTGCAAAGTCTCTTTTAATGGACTTCTACAGCTGCTTCTGTTAAGAGTACAAACTGCTACACACTGACTCTGCAGTGACATTCTCCCAGAATGCCACTATCCCCCTCAGGGGCTGAGGGACAAGAACTTGAAAGAAGTCGAAGGAGTACTTCCCCCTCTGCTCGCCTCCCCTCTCAACAGGCAGCTTCCCTCCAAGAGATCTGCTTCACAAGTCCAGATCCAGTGAAGTCACACACGACCTCACAAACCTCCAGCTTAACTCCTCAGAAGCCAGGCAGCAAGCGACAACAGGGAGAAAGGAAAACTGCCTAGTTTATTTGGAGTGGCTGCTGCTTATGGGAGAAAGAGAAATTTGTCCTACATCACTAAAAAAAAGACAGTAATTTCAGCATTGTTTCTCTTCAACAGCACGAAGGTTTTTGAAGTACTATTTTTAAAAACCATAATTTTCTACAGCACACACATTCTGGCCCTAAAGGAATGACAGACACAGGCAACAAAATTGATCTAATTCATCTAAATTATATAAAATTCAGTTGTGTTAAATTCACACTTAATCTTACGTGATTTATGTTTTTCTACTTTCATTTCTAGTTTTGTTTGTTTTTCTGCTATCACTGATGTGAACATATTCATTTGTCCTGTTGTTCAAATCCTGCTTCAGACGACCAGAAGTGGACAGGCAACACTCACAGCTGGAGGACACAGGCAACAGATGCACAGGTGCATCCAAGAACCTGGGATCACAGCACTGGCGGCCTGAGAGCAAGGACAGCACCAGACCTAGCTAATGGATGACAGAGTCCGCGTCAGTACCCCAAGGGGAAAGGAGACTGGCTTACTTCATTGTCTTTCCCAGGCTTTTTCTTTAGGCTCCTGCTATTTTTGTAGGGATATGAGAATTACAAGGATCAGGAGGTAATAACTAATAATTACTTTATAAACAGAAGTAGATAAAATTACATACTCTCAAAATGTAATATGCCCTTTTAAGAATGCCTTGGTTCACCTAGAAAATGATTATAACTTACCGTCCAGCAATTTTATTCCTAAATATATACCTAGCCTAGAGAAATTCTCCCATATGTGCACAAGAAGCCACAAATTAGAATGTTCACTGCCACGCCATTTGAGATAACAAAAATACAAGACAGTGAAAAAGTTCATAAATAGGAAAATGGAAAAATAAGTTATAGTATATATTCATGTAATGAATACTATACAGAAAATTAATAAATTAGGGCTTTATGAATCAATAAGAATGAATTTGAAATATTGAGCAAAAAAAGCAAGTTACAAAAAGAAACAAGACAGCATTTATATAAAGCTCAAAAACATGTAAAAGAATACTATCCATTGTTCACAGATGGATGCACACCTATATAGGAATGATAAGCACCCACAGATCATGGTTACCTTTAGGAAGAGAAAGAGGAATGCGACCAGGGAGGCATTCACAGGAGCTTGCAATTCATCTTGATGATTTATTTCTTAAATTGGCTGGTGAGATCACAGGTGTTTATTATTTTCTGCACTTTCTGGTATGCCTAAAATGTTTCAGAAGTTGTAAAAAGTCAACTACACAATGGCTGCCTCTTTGAGTGTAGCAGCAACTGTTCAGTCTAGAAGATTAACAGAACAGGAGGCAAAGAGGTTAATCATTCCCTCAACTCCAACTCTCAAGTCCCCAAATCTCAGCAGCTGTTACTAATTCTGCCTCAGTTTGGCTCCATCTGGAAAGTCACCTGCCCTACTCCCCCCACGACCTTTCACACTTGTCCACCTCATCCTTCAAAGCCCACCACAAAAAGCAACGCTCCCATGTGGGCCCCACGACACACTATGCTAGCAGTGGCCCCAGCCTCAGGGCCTCCCCGTCTGGTTCTCCAGGCCCTGTGCTACAGTTAGCTGTGAAGCTATCGTCTCTGCCTCCTCTTTGGGAGACACCTAGTACCCAGTATAGAGCAGCTGCTGATTAAGTTCTTCATTCAACAAAAACTCAGTACCCAGTATACGCTGGACCCTGTCACAGAGGTTCTCTGAGCCTCAAAACTAAAGACTTGGGAAGGTCACTGCCTAACAGGAGGGACAAGCCCGTACCTGACAAGGTATAATATTACACGATGAATGCTAAAATAGTTGTTAAATGAATGCTAAGTGTGAATAATGAACTTTTATGATTGTGTTTCACAATAATAATTATTCAATACCTCTTATTTTTCTCTATACTGAAGAGTTTATATTACTACTCTTGACTAGAAAATGTCACCTTCTTTGTGTTGATGTGGAGCTGCTAAACAGAGTAATTACAAAGACAATAAAACAACCATCATTAAAACTCCTCACCTTCAAGGAATCTAAGGCTCGTAGAATTATCACCACAGATATGCAGATCCTAGGCCTATCTGACCACAGTCTATTCGTACCAGGTGACTCTGAAGAAGTTTTAAAGACAAGAACTCAAGCAGTGTTATTACTAATAATAAGAGCCAACACTTTTGGAGTACTCATCAAGTGGCAGTAAATTATCATCCCTCTTCCCAGATAAGGAAGTTGAGGTTTAGAAAGATAGTTCACCAAAATTTGAACCAAAGCAGTCTGACTTAAGAACCCACACTCCTCACTAAGAACCTACACTCCTCACTAAGAAACCATACTGTTTCCTAGCAGGAAAATGCATCAACTCCTCTATTTCTAGAATTAGGGATCACTAGACCAAAGGTGACACAAGAAATCATGTCGAGGCTCACAGCCAGGGCCACTCACTTCTGCAAACCTCTGTTGAGACTTCTCCCCGTCACTGGCACAGTGACCTCTAACAGGCCTGCTCCCCTAGGAACAGGGACTGTGCCACTCAGCTTTGTATTCTGCCTCTGAACAGCTTCCAGTGCTTCTCGAACTTTACAGTGCTTGTGAATCACCTGGGAATTCGTTAAAATACACATTTTGGTTGAGTACATCAGGGGTGAGCACGAAGATGAGAGGCTGACAGGCTAGGCTGACGTCAGACTCACCTGGGAAGCTTTCCAACCTCTCACTGGCCAGGCGCCATCCTAGACCAAGAGGATCCAGGTAGTGAGACTGGGGAGTGTGAATTTTCAAAAGCTCCCCCCATAACTCTAATGTGCAGTCCAGTTAGAGAACCCTGTTCTAGAGCTTTCCTACTTCAGTTTGGTCCATAGACCACTGTTCTAGACTAGTGCTTCTCAACCTTCAATATATATTTTTTTTTATTTATTTATTTATTTATTTATTTATTTATTTATTTATTTATTTATTTATTTATTTATTT